CACATTTCTCTAGGTCTCCATTTTCCACAGCCTGTGCCAAGCCATTTCCACTACGGTGCCCACTCCTCAGCTTCCTCATTCCTTGGGCTCTGCTTCCTGGCCCGGCTGTCTCGGTTAACGCTCTGCTTCCCAGCTCCTGGCCAGCTGGTACCCACAGCATGGCTCCCTTGCCCTGCCTGGAGGGGATGCTGGAGCCTGAGGGATGCAGCAGGGAGGGGGTGCTGGAGCCTGAGGGATGCAGCAGGGCAGGGGATGCTGGAGCCTGAGGGATGCAGCAGGGCAGGGGATGCTGGAGCTTGAGGGATGCAGCAGGGCAGGGGATGCTGGAGCTTGAGGGATGCAGCAGGGAGGGGGTGCTGGAGCCTGAGGGATGCAGCAGGGCAGGGGATGCTGGAGCTGGGGGGATGCTGGAGCTCAAGGCCTTGCCTCTTTGCTCCCCCCTGGCTCCTGTGCAGCAGGCAAGCAGAGGTCCCACCAGGTCGCTTTGGTGTTCTATGCTCAAGGAAGCCACTGATTCCTCCCCTCTGCAGGGGATCCCCCTCCAGCTCCTCGGTGGGATCTTGCTCAAGCACTTTCCCAGCAATGCCTTGCTGCTGCGGGACCTGGGGGAGCAATAACAGCCCTGGTTGGGCTGTGTTGGTGGCTCCAGCCAGGGCACGTGGGTGAGCTGTGGGATGGGGACTTGGAGGCACAGCCTGGGGCAGAGCTGTCCCCAGCCCTGGCCACTTCCCCCTGAGCTCTTGGATGGCAGAACTAGCAATAATTACACAAACCCAGTCATTTTTGATGGAAAAAGAGACATTTTTCTGGTGAGGACTTTCCCCAGGCGAGCTCCTGTGTCCCAGCTGCCTGCATGTGAAGGGCAGGGAGAAGCCAATGGGATTCTGGGGCTAAGAGAAGAATACGGGGCTTTGCTTCAGTCAGGGAGGGGATTGGGTTTAAACCTTCAAATCACTGCTCTGCTCTCTATTAACTGCTTGGGAGCCTTGACCACAGCTTGCTCCTGAGCATCCGCTTTGGTCCTGCTCATGGTGAGCCTGTTGCCGTGGTGGGAATGGGTTGTGTCCTGGGGGGCCCATCCTTTGGAGCACCCCGAGGGCTGCTCTGTGCTGCTGCCCAGATGTGCAGGAGGCTCCAGCAGCTGGGCAAGGCTGGGGCTGGCTGCTGCATGAACAGGTTAATGACAACTGGGAAAGGGGGACCCGGGTGCTGCAGGATGGGACATTGCAGGTTTGAAGTGCTGCAGGAAAGGGTTAATCTGGCATGTGGCAGCTGAGCAGGAGCTGGGTTACCTGGAGCTCCATCCCTCGCTTTGTAAGCCCAAGTCAGCCTAAATACAGCGGGGATGGGCTGCGCAAATAGCTCCTGCAACGGGACAGCAAATGGGTTGGATGTCCTTCAACAACCCATTTCCTTGCTGCGGCGCAGGGAAACATGGGCTGTTTCAGCAGCTCCCTTCCTTGGAAGCCACAATTAGATCTGTTTGAAAAGCAAACAAACACTTCTCATCAAAATGCCTCTCTGTTCCTGGCCTGAAGGGAAGGTCCTGTCCAGGCCAAGCAGCTTCCCGGAGCTGCCTCTGGGCTCTGGGTGCTCCAGTGTAGTAGTCACCCCTTGGCAACGCAGCACCTCTTGTAGGAAGGCTGGGCTGGTCCTACCCTGCTCTCCTTGGGGTCTAAAGCTTATGGCTTTAGTGCTTGTTGCGCACCCCATCCTGCACCACTGTGGATGGAGCTGGATGCGGCATCCCCCGGGCAGCAGGGGATGGCTTCCGGAGGGGAGCGGTGCTGCTGCCGCGGGACAATGGTGCCTGTGGTTTTAATTACTGGGGTTTCGTGGCGTGGAGCACAACGAGAAACCGAGAGCAGTGAAACCGCAGGGAGAAAGGACGGCCCCTGCCTGCCTGCCTGATGGGGGCAGTGGTGGGGACCAGCCCGTGGCCGTGGACCCGTGCCCTCGCTGGGCCCCGGCACAGGGCTGGCAATGGTGCTGGGGCTCGGCTGATGTCTGCTGCACCGTTGCTGCCCCTTCCCCTCACAGCCTGGCACAAGGTGCCGCTGCCTAAGCAGCCCCATAGGGATGCAAAGCACCATGTGGTGAGCTGGGGACGTGGGCCTGGCCAGGAGCAGGGGGACACGGAGATGAGTTGTGTCCCATGCAAGCACTGCCGGGGCCAATCTGTGCCTGGGAGCAGGGAGGTTTCTCGCTGTGTTTCCACTCACCCAGTGCTTGAGCAGGCGCCTTCAATGCCTTTCAAAGGGCTGGATGAGCTCCGCAGCCGGGCCCAGGGTGGGAGGGAAGCGCTTGTCCTGCTTGGGAAACCCGAAACAATGAAAGAGGAACAATGGAGCCCCCTTCACCCAAAACACCAAACAGCACCAGGACGTGGCAGAGCTCCCAGCGGCGCTGCTGCCTCCTCAGGCCAGGGATCCGCAGCTCCCCTCCTCTTCCTCAGCCCTGGCAAGGGATGCTGCAGGAGGGCGGGTGCCAAGGAGCGTTGCCAAAGGGCTGCCCTGACCCAGCACTGCTGCCAATGGGCATTCCCAGCCTCGGAAACCATGTTTGGGCCGGGGCAGTGGTTTTGCAGCACTGCTGTGACTTGGGGAGGGATTTTGCAGCCTGTTCGTGCTTCCCGGGTCAGCTGAATGTGCTTTGTCGCTGGTCCAGGGGCCTGGCATGGTTTATCCATGTACCCAAACTTGCCAGGCTTATCAGGGAGAAAACGTGTTCATTTGGTAGCCATGTGGGGCCAGGCACAGGGAGATGCTTGGCCAGAGCTGGGAGTCTTGGGGCAGGGATGGATTCATGGCTGGAACCTACACCCTGAGCATCCTCTCACCCGGCCTGGGTGCTGAGAGCACCCAACAGCTTTTCAATGCATGGCTGCAGTGTGTGCTTGGGGACGTGCCTGAGGAGCTGGGGCTGAGCATCCCCTGTGCGCAGGGCTCGAGGGGTCCCAAGCTGTGGGTGGATGGTGCCAGCACTGCCTGCGCCTTGGCTGCTCAGGGCCACCGGCACCATGTGGAGGAGCTGCTGCTCCCATGCACAAGCCCTCATGGGTGAAGCATCCTTCACCCGGCACCCTGGCCAAGCACATCTGGCTGAAAGCTGTGGGAGCTGCCCCGGCAGTGAGGACACCAGTCCGGAAACGCTTCCCTCCCGGGGAGATTCCCTCATCCCAGCTCCTCTCCCAGCACCATCCCTGCCCCTTCAGTGCCTGCCGGGCCATGGGGTCTGGGCAAAGTGGCAGGAGTGGGGCTGGGAGCTCTGCTTCCCACCAGGAGGGTGGGATGAGGGATGCTGTTGGTGCGAGGGGGAGTGGGTCTGACTCTGTGCAGTCCCACTGCCCTGTACTGTGTGCTCAGAGCAGGGGGGCAGCAAACAGCCCTTGCACCAAACCCTGGGCAGGATGGGAGCAGCACCCAGGTTGTCCCCATGCTGGGGAAACTGGTTTAAGACCTCGAGTTAGACCCTGGTAAGTTCCACATGGGGCTTCAGCGCCCATCAGGGTGCATGGTCAGGGACCAGTCATGGTGCTGGAGGAGGGTGAGGGCTGGGAAAGCTCCTTCTGCAGCTAATCCATTGCTCTGGGATGGGGCTGGGCGATGCAGAGTCCATCTGCTGCCATCCACCAGGGTCCTGCAGCAGCGTTCCCACCCCATATCCCACGTCCCGTCCCCCCCTCCTTGTTGCTGTTGTCATCCCTAGTATCACACAGCGATAGGAAAGGCTGCAAGTTGCCTCTTTTCCTGCCAGGTTAGGTCGCTCACCAGGAATGTCTGTTATCCCCACAAGTCAACTTTCCCCTTCGTGGTATGTGTCCAGGGGTCAGGCCTGGCACTACATGAAAGCGCAGGGTATTCAATAACCTAGAGCCGTGGAAAGGCTTTAGTCCAACTCCAACCATGTTGAGGGTTTTATGGATGCAGCATGCCTTTCCCCATTTGTTTCCTATAAACAGCACATGGTAATATTTAGGAGCTTTCAAACAGAGCTTTTTGCATATTCTCCCTTGTCTACAATGAGCTGCTCGGTAGTAGACAGCTTTAATTTACTTGATGTGATTCCTGCTTTCTGCTCTTTCAGAGGGGCTGCTCCTGACCCAGTCGCCTGGCAAATCCCTGTGCAGGTCTGTAACTCCTGGGAGTGGGAACCTGGGACCCCCCCACTGGGGATAAACACCGTCCCTTGCTTGCCACAGGAGGGAAAAGGACCCGGTGGGAGCTTTGCTGCTGTAAAATAACCCCCTTTGAGATGCGATGTCAATGAGGACATGGGGCCTCCATCCCCTCAGGACCCCCTGCGGCATTGTCCCTAAGGACTGCGTGATGCTCGCCATCTCCAGCCAGAGAGAAGCCACTGGAAGAGCTGCTCTTTCCCCATCCTTTACTGGAAGAGCCAGGGGGAAGCTGTGGGTGCTCAGTGCAGTGCATGGGGATGCTCACCTTGCACTGCAGGCTCTTGGGGAGCATTTGCACTGTTCATACAACCAAGGGCAGCACGAATTCCTGCTCCCGCAGAGCCTGCAGTCGCCATTCCTTGCCTGCACGTTCCCAGCACTGGGTGGCTAATGGCAGCTGTGGAGCAGGCCCTACGCCGAGCTGGCACAGAGGGGCACAGATGCCTCCTGAGGTGATTTTCTGCCACTACCAATGACCAGAACTAGCATCTCTTGGCTCTTTCTCTGCAGCAGACTGCACTCACCACTGGGCTGGTAGTGAGTGCTGGCCACTGTACACGTGCGGGTGCTCACGGGGCAGGAAAAGGCCAGTCCTCAAACACCAACTGCCCTGCCCTGCCCATCAGCTCCCCACATCCCACCCCCAGCCCCGATCCCTCCGTGTGCTCAATATTGGGCAGGTTTCCTTCAAGGAGCAGCTTCCACAGGTGCTGGCAGCCGGACATTCCTGGTCCTGCAGTGCCATCGCCCTGCCACGGGCGCACTGCTCCCTGCTGCTCCACACCAGCACCCAAAGAACAGGCACGAGGAAAGCAAAGAGTTGACGGTGGGATTCTTTTTAATGCAATTGCTTTTAAAATGCAGCCTTAACATGACTTAGAACGGTCAATGATGAGGAACAACAGGTCTTTTTGATCTCTGCAACGTGACTGTGCAGCACTTCTGCCTCCAACGCCCGCCTGCCACTGCTGCTCCTGATGTTCTCCGACTGCTCTTACAGCAACTTGCTGCCCCTTCACAGGACCCATCACTCAGGACATCCAAACCCTGACACCAAAGGGACTCCTTTGGACAAAATAAGGGAGCAGGCAAGCTATGCAGTGTCCAGATAATCCAATGCCCATTCAAAGAACCTGAACAAACAGCAGCAGCATTCTCTCTTGCACCTTACACTCGGGCATAAACCTACAAAGGTATTGGAGCTGCCAGCTCCTGTGGCTGTGGGTAAGTGCTATCGACTTCAAGCTCCTCTGTGGATGCCTTCATGCTATGTAAAGTGCTTTGAGAACAGAATGGCTGACTGCAGTTTCTGGCAGAGAAAGTTGATTTTCCAATACCTAACAGCACTCGGTGTGTGTATCTGACACAACAGCGGGTGCTACAGCCTGTCCTCGCTTGCCAATTCAAGGAACAGAGGAAATTCTGTTGCAGCCTGAACATCTGTGAGCATACACCCCAGCACCACCTCCACACTGCAGTGTTTGTACACCCTAACAGCAGAACAGGCTCTGCTTGCTGATGAGCGACCTTCCAAGCCTTTAGCCTGAGTTTTGGTTTTCATCCTGTGGCCTTGCCCCTGGCTGGGAACACTGCTGGCATTTCTGGATTCCTTTTCTCCTTTTAAAAGCTTAACCCTGTTGCAATTTAATGGTTGTCCTTTCAGGAGGGGATCATGAGTCTGCTGGAAGAAGAGAAACTGCAGAAAGGCCACATGAATCTGCCAGTGCTGCACGATGCCACTGCTCTCTGACAAAAGGAGCCTCCTCACCCTGGTGCCAGCACCCAAACAGCTCTCCTAAATCACCCCTTTGTATCAAGCTTGTGTTTTACCAGTAGCTGCATTAACTGCAGGAGGCCAGTTAATTTGACAGCAATACTATGCACTTGAATTTTAAACACCTCTTCTTAAGGACAGCATTTAACAATCAGTGGGCTCCAATTCTGGTCATAAAAACATGGATTCAGATTTGAATAGACTGGAGCTTCTGTGGAGTTTGAGCAGTAGTTTTTGCACACCCAAATGTCACACTTAGAAACTGAGTGTAGAAAGAGTCCCCAGGGGAATACGAAAGACATCACCTTATGAAAAAAGCCTCAGAATGAACCTGTGAAACCAAAAGCCACCAGACAATCGTCTTCTACAGGAAATGGAAGGAGCAGTAGAAGAATATAACAACATCTTAAACAGTCAGTGAGTCAGTCTGAATGTACAGGGGCACTAGATCCCTACAGATCTGCAATGAAAGCTAATGGCCAAAACCAGCTGGTCCCCTCCAGTCCCAAAGGGAGCCTGGGCTCTCATTCACTCTTCACCAGCTGGAAGATTGTCTTCAATCCGCCTGATGAATTTCATCCTTATTTCTGTGACGCTGTCTCCCTTCAGCGTGTCCTGGACAAACTTGACATCCACAGCCATCTGAACCTAGGGGATGGAAGAGGAAAAAGGGCTGTTAACCCCCTTACAACACCACCTGATCATGAAGCACCAGCTTAAGGACTGTGAGGACAAGACATGCAACACAGCTCTAAGATCACATTCTCCTCGTACATTGTGGCCTACATGGTGGATAGCAGGCACCTTTCCTCAGGAACTGCAAAATTCAAGCAGATACTGGTGCTTGGACTTGGGCTGTGAGATGAAGGGGCTCTGGACTAAGAGCTGCCATATGCAACAGCAGCTGAGCACTCCTGTGGCTCTGCTCTTCTCCTGGGAATCAGTCTCAAGTCCAAAGCAAACATGGGAGTCATGAACACAGAAGTACCTGCTGGTACCTCAGTTATCCATCTATCTCACTGGAAAAGAGACCTTAGCTCACCATTTCCAGGGCACCTCGCAGCACTCCACACAGCAAGTTGGAATAGATGAGTGATGAGTGGTTGTCAGGGAGCTCAACGAAGTCCACCAAGGGGTTGTTTTCCAAGATGAGGGAGAACTCATCGCCTCCAGGACTCCAGTTGGTGATGCTCGGAGTGATGCCCAGGTACATTTTAAATGCTATCTGTTATGGCAGAGTATGAACAAGAACACATCCCATGAAGCAACAGCACAGATCTTTGTAAAATTACTACAGGGTTTTGAAACCACCACCCATTTCTCCCAGCTCCTACCAGTCAGCACTAGTCTGGGATCTAATTCTTTCCTGCCTAGAATCTGTCAAACTCTCAGCAAAGTTCTGGGAATAGCAAATACTCTGTCCTCACGTGCAACACCAGGACCCCAGCTGACAAAGCCATGCTTTGGCAATCACCTTTGCAATCACATCCGCGGTTTCACGGAAATCATGGCATCTTCCAACATTGGACCTGGCCAGGAAGTCTTCTATTAGCCGAACACCTATGTTGTAACCCCTGTGAATGCACCAAAGAGGAACAGGTAGAGTGGGCAGAGCACAGCTTTAGAAAGACAACAGTTTATAAAAGAAGAGAGTGGAGGAAAGAAGTTCCATCTGAGAAATAGCAGCATTAAATAACGTTGGGTCTGCCAGGTTTTTACTCGCAGAGCAGCACATCAAGACGTTCCTGCTGTGATCCTGAGCTCTATGAGGCTCTGCCGCAGCAGATCCACTTACATTTTGTCAAGCTGCTTGTTGACATCCTCATCATTCTCGTAGTCCTTGCACAGCTGGGTGACCAGGGCGCCGTAGGTCAGCGTGAAGAGCTCCGAGTTCTAGACAGAGGCAAAAGGGATTTAGCACAAGTCAAAGGGAAACCTGACTGAGCACTGCTGCATCTGTGTCCAGCGCCTTCCGTTGGCCTGGAGAGGGGGAACAGAAACCTGCTGTCTCAAAGGAATTAAGGAGAGATCCCGGTTTGCATTTTGGCAAGGCAACTTCAGTCTCCTTGGAGAGAGAAACCCTCTTTGACTAGCAACGACTGGGCGCTTTCTTTCCCTCCCTCTCTCCATGCACACGGCATTTCCCGTTAAAGTGTCCTGAATCTGACCTGCAGACGCAAACCAGGAGCTGCTCACACCCTGGCCACTCTTAGACGCCCATTAGCACCATTGTGCTTTAACGAGGGAGCCCACAGATAACTGGAGTGACACCTCCAGGTCATTTGGTGCTACAGGCGCTCCCGGACGGCTAAACCTGCACTGGAACTGGCTCTCACTGCTGCCTGCATTCATACACGTGCTGCAAACGGGCAACATTGGTTAGTTGATCCTTGAGCAGGACAAAAAACGTTCATCCATTCATGGAATTACTGCATTCTGCTACCACGAAAAAAGCTAAGACTCATCTGGTCCCTCAGAACTCCTCTAGGCACATAATTTGCTTTATACATTAAAATCAGCTCCTCAGGCCCAGCAGAGGAACAGCAAGGATGGGTTCAGATCAGCTCAGCAGATTCATGTTGTACGTCTGCTCTTTGTGCCTGGCTAAGATCAAAGTTACTTGGGTTTTCTTTGCACAGTGGCCAGATCTGCAGAACACACCGAGGGAAGGGGTCTCCTCTCCCAGCCACCACCTTCACCCATCTCTGTCCAAGGTTTTCCTGGGAGCCACTAAGCCAGACCAGTGACTGACAAAGTCATTGAAAGCTGCAAAACAAAGAGCTACAAGGGGCTTTAGCTTCTCACAGAACAAAGGAACCATCATACTTTATTTCTGCTTTCAGTTTTAGCATGCAGAACCATTAGTCTAATCTCAGATTAAAAGCCTATCACCTACCATGAGATGCATAGATGCAGAAGGTGAAATGAATGGCAAATACCAATACTACAGAATGAAAGCAGCAGGCAGGCAGAAAGGAAGGGAAAAGAGACAACAGAGTTAAGTGACAACACTGACCACGCTTCATTCTGAACAAGTTTACACAAAGCCAAGACAAACAGAAGGAAGAATCACTCCCAAACATTGACCAAGTAGAAATTAGGTTAGAAGACACCGGGAATTCCACCTTGTCATTGTAATTCATGAAGGCAACAGCAGTTAGCGACCAAAAGGCTCTGAGCCACCTGAAAAGCACCAGTTGTGCTCCCTGCTTCTTTTGCCCCATTCTAGAGCTAAAGAATGGATTCTTTGGGTTTTTTTTACTTACAACCCTGCTTTTGTCCTGGAAAAGGCTGTGAAGCTCCCACTGCTCAGGAGGGCCTGACAAGGTGGAAATCTCCTAGAGCTCAAGTGGCAGAGTCAGAGGTTGGGCAGAGAATTTAACAAACGTGCAGAAAAGGTTATGCTGGTTTTAGGGATTTCAGTCATTTTTAGCAGGGACTAGGCCTGGCAGCTGGGGAGAGAAGGGGTGAATGCATGAAGGAAATCCAGCTGTTACCAGTCCCAGATGCTGGCATTTACTGGGTAAAGCCACAAAGCCTTCACCTACTGTTAGCAGCCCCGCAGTGACCCGGTGTCGGCCACAGCGATGCTGCTATTGGGGTAACTTCAAACCCCAATATAATATGGGTTATAACTGGTTATAACAAGGCAAACTTCTCACTTCGTATTTGCAACCTAACTCTTCATTTTCAGTCCATCTAATGGAAGTGAAGTGCCTGAGACACACTCCGTTCTTTATGTTATTCCATATTTCGGATTAGCGCAGAGGCTCAACACTCCAGAACCGTTCTGTGCCTACAGAAAACGTCGGGTTAATAAAACACCGATCCCTTCAATAAAAATCACTGCGTCGAAGGAGCTGAACTCCCACCATGGGAACCCCTTGTGGTGCTGAGCAGGCTGAGTCCCCAGCACGGCCGAAGAGGGGGCAAACCCGGGCGTTATCGTTTATTCCTGGCATTCAACCATCGCTATTGCACCAAGAGCGACCGAACTCGGTCTGCCCTGACCCGCGGTGAGGGCCCCGGCTCTGCGGGCTCCTTCTCCATCCCCTCCACCGCGCCTCAGCCGGGCCGGGAACACCCAGCGGGCCGGGGGAAGGGAAAAGCGAGAGAGACGCAGCCGGCACCGTCCCGTGACCGCACCGGCCCCCCGGTAACGGGCACTCGGGCAGGGCAGGGCCCGCCGGGCGGGCAGCGCGGCCCAGCGGCAGCGGGAGGCCACAGCCGGGCGCTACCGCAGGCCTGGGCCTGGCAGCCGGGCCGGGCCTCCGCCCCCTCCGGGCTCCCCCACACCCCGCTCATGCCCCGGTCACCACCGGGGTCGCTCCGGGGCCCGCCCGGCCCCTCCGGTTACCATTTTCTTGCTCTCGGTGCCGCGGCCGGCCTGGCGCGACATCCTGCCCGCTCCGCTCCTCTCCCCTCCGCTCCCGGCCCAGCGCCGCCGCGGGGCACGCCGGAGCCCGTAGTTCCGCCGCCCGGACTACGACTCCCAGAGTGCACCGTGGGGATGGGGACCGGGACCGGGATGGGGATGGGGACGGGGACGGGGACCGGGATGGGGATGGGGATCGGGATCAGTACCGGGATGCGGATGGGGACCGGGATGGGGATGGGGACCGGGACGGGGACGGGGATGGGGATGGGGATCGGGATGGGGATCGGGATCGGGACGGGGATGGGGACCGGGACCAGGATCGGGATGGGGATGGGGACCGGAACCGGGATGGGGATGGGGACCGGGACCGGGATGGGAATCGGGATGGGGATGGGGACCGGGACCGGGATGGGGATGGGGACGGGGACCGGGATGGGGATGGGGATCGGGATCAGTACTGGGATGGGGATGGGGACCGGGACGGGGACGGGGATGGGGATGGGGATGGGGATCGGGATGGGGATCGGGATCGGGACGGGAATGGGGATGGGGATCGGGACGGGGATGGGGACCGGGACCAGGATCGGGATGGGGACCGGAACCGGGATGGGGATGGGGACCGGGACCGGGATGGGGATGGGGTTCGGGACGGGGATGGGGACCGGGACTGGGATCGGGATGGGGATGGGGACCGGGACCGGGATGGGGACCGGGACCGGGATCGGGATGGGGATCGGGATGGGGACCGGGATCGGGATCAGGACCGGGATCGGGATCAGGATCGGGATCAGGACCCTCCGGTTGTTCGGGCCGGGGTCGCTTCCCTTGGGCCTCGCTTCCCCCGGTGCCTAGCGGGGGTGGTGCCTGCGGTGGCTGCTGTGTCCGGTCCCGGGACGGCGGCTGCCGGGGTGCCCCGGCCCCGGTGGTGGCGCTCCGAGGGGTTTCCGCTGGATGAGTCGCCCCTCGCAGAAGGGGTCGCTGCCAAAGCAAGGGCCTGTCCGTGGGGAAGCTTCTCCGGGTCCTGCCTCTGCTCGTCCCTCCCTGGCCCCGCTGTTAAGCACAAAGCGGGATCTCCCGGAGCGGGTGGAGCGGGCCCCGGGCTCGCTGCAGTGACTGCTGGGACAACCGAGCTCGTCCCGAGCCTCGCAGCCGCCCGAGCACGGCGGAGGAAGCCAGACCCTGCTCAGGAATCCAGCAGCTGGGAGATCCCTCCCCGTCACCACGGAGCAGAGGTGCCGAGACTGCAAGGGCCGGCGGGGCTCCCGACGGACACAGCCGCCCTGCTGGCATTGCCTTACATGGCTGCATCCCTGGAACGGCGCAGCCTGTGCTCGCTGGGCTGAGAGCCCCTCGGCCTGATACCAGCCTCACCCAGGCTGGGGAGCTGCCAGCATCGCCTCTGTCCCTGGCAGGGGTGGGACACGGTGCCAGCAAGACGATGAGGTCTCCGTGCTTCCCCATCTCCCAGCCCTAAAGGACAGGGAGCAGCCTGGGAGTGCTGCTGTGCTCCTGCTCCTGCTACCGGTCCTACCCCTGTGCTGGCGGGCAGAGGGACCTTTTGTGCTCTTCTCTCCCAGCTGGGGAGCTACATCCAGGGGATGGCGAAACACGGTGCCCAATGCCACGGATGTGATGCTGGAGGTGGGCATGAGCCTCTTGAGCTGGGTGGCCACCAAACCCACATGGAGACACAGGGCTGCCCAGAGCCAAGCCAAACCCTGCTGTGTGGTGAGAAACGAGCCCACTCCTCTGATTGAGGTGTCAGGGTTTTAGCGAGGGACAAAGCCAATAAAGCAAAAGCGACAGGGCTGGGCAAGTGACCATAGCCAGAGGCACGCCGGTTAATTCTCTAATGCAAGTTTATATACCTTCATCATTGTGCCAGGCGCATACATATTCATGATTTCATTTACATATTCCTAGAACTAATTTACATTTCCCCTCCCTTATCCTGCCTTCTTAGAGCATGCGCTGTTTCTCTTAGGGGGTCTCTGGGATGGCTCCCGGGATGAAGTCGGAACTCTTCCTCGAGGTGACCTCTTAACTTGTGGGTTCTGGGCGAGTTCCACCGTTGGTTTCCCCACTTTGTCCGTTAAATGTCACCCCACCAAATGAACGATCTTTGTTCCTGGTATTGCAAGCTCATCACTCCACCTGCATAGCAACATCCACAACTGCGAAAGCCAATATTCTCCTGTATGTCTATCACAGTGGGAACAGCCATGTGGGAAAGCCACAGAGCAGACATTGCCATGTGCTGCTCCCGGTGATGACCTGCTGGCCCTTGCTGGCTGGGACATGTGCCAGGCCCAGCCACATCCCTGCTGGCGTGCTCGTGCCAGAGCCAGCACCCAGCCCTGTGCTGTGTCCCCAGGCTGCAGGTGTGCATGGTCAGGCTGCAGGTGGCATGGTCAGGAGGACCAGAAGCTTTGGCCTCCAGGCACCAAGAGTGTGACCACGGCCACTGTGGCTGCTGGAGGTACCACGTCCCTGGTCACCGTGTGGGTCCCTGGCAGTGTCCCACTGTGGTGAGGTGACCGGGCACTGTGGGTCCTGCAGCAGCATCGCAGGCTGCGGCTCTTGTTAAAGCGCTGTGTCTGATGAATCCCCTTCCCATCACTGCCCCGGGGCTGGGACTGGAGCAGCAGTGGGACAGCTGCTCCCCAGCCCCGCTCCCCCCGGGAGCCGGTTTGGCCGCACCGGGAAGCTCTCCGGTTTCCCACACACCGACGTGCCCGCGCCGGGAGGTGCTCGGGGGAGCGTGGGCACCAAAACACCTCGACCTGGCTGCTCGGAGCCCCGTGCTCCGGTGCCCCCGGCCGGGCCTCCCGTTCGTTCGGGGGGAAGCGGCCGGAGCCGAGCGGCGCCCCGAGACCCCCCGTCCCGTCCCGGCGCGCTCCGCCCCATCCGGTGGGCACAGGACCGAGGTGCAGCGCGCCCCGCTCCGCCCCGACGCGCCCATCGCCCGTGGCCTCGGCCGGGCTGATCCCGGGATCCGAGCCGGGCCATGCCGGGCAGAGCCGCTTCCCTGGCGCCCGCCCCGGGAGCGGCTGTACCGGGGCTGGGGGGGCTCCGGGCCGCCGCCGCGCTGCTGTGCGCGGTGCTGTGCGCCCGGCCGGGCCGAGCGGAGCCTTTCCTGTTCCCCTTTCCCTTCCAGGACCCGGCGCTGCCCTGGCACCGCCGCCTCGACGACCTCCTGGGCCGGCTGAGCCCCAGCGAGCTGGTGCTGCAGGTAGCGAGGGGGGGTGCGCTGGGGAACGGCCCCGCGCCCCCCATCCCAAGGCTGCGCATCGCGCCCTACAACTGGAACACCGAGTGTCTGCGCGGCGATGGGGAGGCACCCGGCTGGGCCACGGCCTTCCCCCAGGCACTGGGGCTCGCTGCTGCCTTCAGGTGCCGGCATCGGGGCACCGGGACCCCCTTGGGATGGGGCCCCCGGGGATCCACGCTGAAACACGGCCCTGTGAGATGCCCCCGCGCTCTCCCCGCAGCCCGGAGCTCATCTACCGGGTGGCCAACGCCACTGCCACCGAGGTGAGAGCCAAGCACAACGCCTTCGCCGCCGCCGGCCGCTATGGGGACCACACAGGGCTCAGCTGCTTCAGCCCCGTCCTGAACATCATGAGGCACCCGCTGTGGGGCAGGAACCAGGTGCCAGCACAGCAGGGTGGGGGGAGCGCAGGGCTCAGGCCACCCTGGACCACGTCTGTCCAGCCAGAGGGTGACAGCGGCTCCCCGGGGTGCTGCTGGCGGGGTGTGGGGCTGGGGGTCACGTCCATGACCTGCCTGCACCTCAACAGGAGACCTATGGGGAGGACCCGTTCCTGAGCGGGGAGCTGGCCCGCAGCTTCGTGCAGGGGCTGCAGGGCTCGCACCCCCGCTACATCAAGGCCAGCGCTGGCTGCAAGCACTTCAGCGTGCACGGGGGCCCCGAGAACATCCCCGTGTCCAGGCTCAGCTTCGATGCCAAGGTGAGGGCAGTGGAGCCAGGGGATGGCGAGCGGCTCCCCCGGGCGCTGACCCCTCTTCACCACGGTGCTTGCAGGTGCTGGAGCGGGACTTGCGCACCACCTTCCTGCCCCAGTTCCAGGCGTGTGTGCGTGCTGGCTCCTACAGCTTCATGTGCAGCTACAACAGGTACTGAGCACGGTGAGGGCCGCAGAGCCTGAGGGGTGGTGGTGCCCGGCTGTCCGTGCTGCCGCATCCCCTCTCCAACAGGATCAACGGCGTTCCTGCCTGCGCCAACAAGAAGCTGCTGACGGACATCCTGCGTGGCGAGTGGGGGTTCGAGGGCTACGTGGTGAGCGACGAGGGGGCCCTGGAGCTCATCATGCTGGGGCACCACTACACACGCACCTTCCTGGAGACGGCGGTCGGTGAGCTCACGGGATGGGGGGGCCCCGGGCATCGCGGAGCTGTATAATGGGTGATTTCCCTTCTCACTGGCACTGCAGCATCAATGAACGCTGGCTGCAACCTGGAGCTGTCCTATGGCGTGAGGAACAACGTCTTCATGCGCATCCCCCAGGCTCTGGCCATGGGGAACATCACGCTGCAGGTGAGCTGGGGCTGGGAGCACAGGAGCCAGGGCTGTCCCCACCGAGCGCAACCACGGTTTTGGTGTCGGGGTCTTCACAGATGCTGCGTGCCCGGGTCCGGCCCCTCTTCTACACCAGGATGCGGCTGGGGGAGTTCGACCCCCCTGCCATGAACCCTTACAGCGCCCTGAACCTGAGCGTCGTGCAGAGCCCAGAGCACCGAAACCTCTCACTGGAAGCTGCCATCAAGAGCTTTGTGCTGCTGAAGAACTCCCGGGGGACGCTGCCCCTCCGGGCCCAGGACCTGCCTGGCAAGCGCCTTGCGGTGAGCACCGGGCCCAGAGGCGGGCAGGGGGATGTGGTGACCGTGGCGCTCTGGCTCCATCCCTCGGGCTCTCCGGCAGGGAGAGCTGCACGGGCTGCAGTGCCCACCCTCACCCCTCTGCCTCCGCAGGTCGTGGGTCCCTTCGCGGACAACCCCCGGGTGCTGTTTGGGGACTACGCGCCGGTG